CTATCCTTTCAAACTTCAATGGTAAGAATATTTGGACAATTCCTAAAACGCTCCAACCCATATACTTTTTTGTATGCTGAATGCGGCCCAAGATGCACGGTCCGCTCTGATATCATTTCCAGAGAGTGCCTCTCTCTGTTGCTTCAGCACCAGAACGCGAGCTGTACATGCAGGGATACGGAGCAGAGTCAATTCTTCTATCAATGCTTAAGTAGTGCTCCTAAGATCTGTTCGGTCGCCCCAACTTGAGGTACTTTAGGCGGATTGTGCCTGTTTGTCCGATGTAGCCAATTGTCCTAAAGTGGATTTAAGGTTTAGTCGGGTCTACATCCGAAGGTATGCGGACGGCAATTCCTTCCTTATCACTGTCCAAGCCGAGGGCCGAGTACGAGACTCGTCCCATCGTTGTCATTCCTTGCCTCTTATTATTTTTATTAGTCTACCCCTTCGTGAACTTCCTCTTTTCCATTTCCCTCCCCTTCCTAGCTGTCCCGCCTCTCCTGCCAAGTCCCTAGCTTTGTACGACATCATTCTCCTCATTACTCCCGGCGCCGAACCCCAGATTTCCCCGCACCGTTATCATGCCGGTCTCCTCACAGTATCCGCCGGTTGACATCCCCAATGTCGACCTTTGGACATTTCTATTCGAACGCAAGGATAGGACCTTTCCAGATGACAACAGTATGTCCGCCCTTTTTGTGGTCATTTTTGGCCTCCTCAGCCAGCGCCTTATTTGCCTTGAATTCGGAAGCTAACGTATCTCGCCAGTCATTTACCAGGATGCTGATACACAACGATTTTACACCTACAAAACCTTGAAAGATGCAGCACTTGCCTTTGGTCAAGGGCTGAAGGCCGTCTACGACTGGCGTAAAGGGGATGTTTTGGCGTTATTCACCCCGAACAGCATTGACACCCCTGTGGTGATGTGGGGAGCTCATTGGGCTGGAGGCGTCGTATCCCCGGCCAATCCAGCCTACACAACCGAGGAGCTGGCTTTCCAGCTGAAGAACTCAGGGGCGAAAGCTGTAATTACGCAGGTTCCCCAGCTATCGGTAGTAAGAGAGGCCGCCAAGAAAGTCAACATCCCCGAGGACCGCATCATCCTCATCGGAGATAAGCGCGACCCAGAAGCAAGGTTCAAACATTTTACGTCCATCAGAAACATTTCGGGGGCAACCAGGTATCGCAAAACCAAGATCAATCCGGATAAGGACCTGTCATTCTTGGTTTATTCTTCGGGTACCACTGGTGTTCCTAAGGGTGTCAGGCTTTCCCATAGGAATATCGTCGCCAACTCTCTTCAGCTGGCTGCTGGAGAGGCTGGCCATCTGACTTGGAATGGTGGCGCTGACGGCAAAGGAGACCGAGTACTGGCGTTTCTGCCATTCTTCCATATTTACGGTAGGTTCGGTTGCTGATCGGATATATATTTCTCTGAAGATGCTGACGGACTTGCTAGGCTTGACCTGTCTTGTGCACCAGACATTGTACCAAGGTTACAAACTTGTGGTGATGGAGAGATTCGATATTGAAAAATGGTGTGCCCATGTTCAGAACTACCGCATCACGTTTTCCTACGTCGTGCCCCCGGTCGTTTTGTTATTGAGCAAACACCCTGTAGTCGACAAGTATGACCTTTCCAGTCTCCGCATGATGAACTCGGGTGCCGCCCCGCTCACGCACGAGCTTGTGGAGGCCGTGTATGCACGGATTAAATGTGGTATCAAGCAAGGCTACGGCCTCAGCGAGACCAGCCCTACTACTCACACCCAGCCCTGGGAGGAATGGCGCACAAGCATCGGATCGGTCGCAAAATGTTGCCGAACATGGAGGCCAAATACATGACCATGCCTGAGGATGGGTCGGAGCCTCGCGAGGTATCAGCAGGAGAGGTAGGCGAGCTGTACATGAAGGGCCCCAATGTCTTCCAAGGGTACCACAACAACCCAGCTGCAACTGCCGAATGTCTTACCGATGGATGGTTCCGCACCGGAGACGTCGGTTACCAAGATAAGAACGGAAACTTCTACATTACGGACCGTGTCAAGGAGCTCATCAAGTACAAGGGCTTCCAGGTTGCTCCAGCAGAGCTGGAAGGTATCCTTGTAGACCACGAGGCAATCGACGATGTCGCTGTTATCGGTATCGAAAGTGAGGCTCACGGCACTGAGGTTCCGCTCGCTTATGTCGTGCGGAGTGCGAAGAGTAAATCTTCAGGTGCCAGCGCAGAACAAGAGGCAGCCAACATTATCGAATGGCTGGATGGCAAGGTCGCGTACCACAAGCGACTGCGTGGCGGAGTACGCTTTGTGGACGCAATCCCTAAGAGCGTGAGCGGAAAGATTTTGCGGAGGGTTCTCAAGAAACAAGCCAAGGAGGAGGCAGCGGCACCTAAAGCCAAGCTGTAATTAGAATAGATCCAGTCGTAGAACGTCTGGTTATTATGTAGATACCAATCCATACATGTCTCGTATATAGTCAGTGCCCAAGGAATCGTTAGACTAACTTGATATGAGCTGAAGTCCTGATGAAAGTAGGGTATCTTGTATGTATTGTCAATCATAGTAGCAGTTGGATGTCAGAAACGGACACGGTCATCCATTAGTAGTATTATGCATGTTGCTTTACGGGAAAAACCGCTTCACCATCGCATCCACGTCCTCCCCTTCGACGACATCCACCTTCTCCCTAACTGCCCGTTCCACCGCGTCATCAATCGGCTCGTCACCGTTGATCAAATCATACCAACCGTTTGTATCAGAACGAGCAAGTAGCCGATCCGCCACAATTGCCACATCCTCCCTGGTCACATTACCTCGCCCTTCTGTCTTACCAAACTGCACCTTCCCGGTGGCCGGTTCATCAGTCAGAGTGCCTGGGCGTAGACAAATGGCCTGGAAGGGCGAGGACTGGCTCTGCTTACGCCGAGCCGCAAACGCAGTCAGGTACTCGTCCGCCTCCAGCTTAGCCTTCGCATACGCGGGGAGGACATTGTAGAATACGTTCTGAATAGCCTCCCAGCCCTCATCAGACATCCAGCTAGGCCGGACCCGCCGACTGCCAAGCCAGGAGACCAAGAGGAACTTAGTCACACGAGGGGAAGCAAACGATGCAGAGATGAAGTGCTTGGCGGCGCGTTCGTCGATGGCAAACGTCCGTTCGGGGCCACCTTTACCGCCGGCGCCTTTTTGTTTTGCACATTAGCTTCGAACTTGTAGGTAATAGATTCAAGCTTATTCCATGGATGGCATTGGAGCACATCAAGCGGGGTAGGTTGAATACTATCTTTCACATACCGGCTGACCATACTACGTAATCTGGAGACACAGTATCGATGATCTTCTTTGCGTCTTCGTCACTCTTGATGTCGTCCAGACTGGACAGGAGGACGTTCAATTTGCCCTTGGTGCCTTTGCCGCGCGCGAGAATCTCATTCTCATGGTCTGGATTGCGGATCACGCTGGTGACATTCCAGCCACGGTTGAGAAGAAGTGGGGTTAAATGGAGGGCAATTTTGCCGTGGCCGCCTAGGAGAAGGACTTGCATTGTAGGTTTATTCGTATTTCTGTCGTTTGGTACAATAATATCTTCACGCTATTTAGGATAATGTTGCGAGGTGTTTATGATAGTGAGGGGCACCAACTGTGGTGCCTCAGGTACTGTAGATGCATTAATAATGATGTCGTCATTTCAAGATGAATGCCTCAGGTATCGAGGACGCAATGTCTCAGTCCCCAAGGGATGGATAAATCAATATGGATTGTCAGTCAATCAGTCAATATTGATTCATCTCCTGATGCCCCCCATACATTTGTCTGTGTCTCCCCGCGTCAATTCAGGTGAAACTTATTGCTGCCTATCCCTTGACGATTCCACCTCTCTTCACTCTTACTCATGAATCAGAGTTCTACTCCGGGGTATTTTCCCAATAGTTCACTACCCTTTGCTCCGAGTTTTAACTTTCCAAACAAAAGCCTTGTTCTTGTTAAAACCTTGCCCCGAAAAAAAAAAGACAACCCAAAGCCCTCACACAATCAAAGAAAGGGCAAAGCAAAAATATGATATAAAATAAAATAAATAAAATAAAAATACTTAACAACCAGGTTTAATTATTGATCTCTCGTATCCCACAATCACCTAATCTGAAACACCGAGTTTCGGTTATTGACCGGGGAAAACAGGACCGCACATCCAAAGTTTGATCTCACCGTCGAATATTGATCTGATTTTCTCGCCGAGTGGGGGATAAGTCAATCCATCGCGCATTTTGCTTATGGGCGGGGGAGGAAAAGAAATTTGGCTAGAGTTCTAGACTTATTTTAATTTTTTTTTCATTGCATTTGCTCATTAAACTTTGTAGTCTACTTATTCCGTTGGTCTTGGGAGGAGCGAAATAGATTAAAATGTGATTTCTGGAATCTTGTCGATTCTTAGCGAATGTTGGCGATTGTCGATTGTCGATTGTTATTTTTTATGTTATATTTTTCGATTTAATTAATGGAAGGTTTGAAGGGTGGTGATATGGATCCTCTTCCCCCCCTCTCGCACTCCGATCTTGAGTTTCAATCTGCGATGCTCCCGTCTCGATCTTGGTGCTGCTTAGGACGTGGGTGCTATTGACCGGGGTGGCTGACCTGAGAGAGAGAGAGAAGTTACGGCTTGGTATTGTATGTATTGAGTGAGGTAATACGGGCACCCGTTTTAGGGCTATCCAGTGGTTTTTCACGGGCTGCCTTGACCCCTTCGAGTCTAGTCAGGGGCATCCACAACAGAAATTTGGTCCGCGAAAGGGACGGGGGCTTTTAGTGTGTTTTTGGGGGATTGAATTGTATTGGCCGAGTTCATTGGATAGGTCGGCACATGATGCCCTGGAGGTACTTCGAGAACTCTGGATACGGACACCTTTGACTATTCGTACGGTATATAATAACTGCCAGTGCCAAGGACAAGGATATATCCACCTGGTGCAGCAGAACTGCATTTTATCGAGGCGGTATGTATAAGCTAAATTCTTAAGAGCGTGCTAAGCACATGGACGGAACGAGGGGATGCAACCCCACGCAATCATCGCTCCTGTGCTGTATTGCACTAAAAATATGTGTAGGTACTGTGTGATATATGACCTCATGGCCCTCACCGTCTATTTCAGATGCACGTTCTCGATGACGGCCCCGTGGTGATAAGACTTTGGTTTATAATCTGGAGTCCGAACACGATCTAAAGGTGAAGAGGCGGTAAGCTTGGGATAGGGCCAAAAGAACAGAGCCAGAACTGTTGGGCGCTCCGTGACAACCCGAGGCTATCCATGACTAGGTTTAGTCGGCATTCGTACTTTTGATACGGAACATACCTTACTAATTATATCGCTGCCATGACTGGTTCAACAATGCGTGTTGAGAGATTAATCTTGCGAGGATGTCACTTAACTACATATGTTTGCTTACTGTTACTTCTTTCCCCTCTTTTCAAGACAATGGCTTTCAAGGATACATGACACTCATGCAGCGAGCTCCACCATGATCTTTGACAGTTCCGTCCCGAGCCACAGGGGAGGCGCGATATGCATAAACACTACCATGGGTGCCGGGTGAAGCAGGATGAAACAATGCATGACCCGATAACCCCAACCGAATATCTATATCCCGAGCACGTGAGACATCAATGGCACCATCATAAGTCGATCATATTAAGTATTTGTTTGTTTGTTTATGCTGCCTTGACATCGGTCCGATCCATGTGAATCTCTCATATTGCGCCTACCAGACGCCTATTATCCTGGTAGGGCTCGGGAATCAAGACCCGTCCCGCTACACAGACAGGGATGGGCTGCATCTGCTGTTACATCCAGCCACCGAAAACATTCCGGAAAGCATCCCGTGACTGCTGTGGTGGTGACAAGCCTCAGTCAAGAATGGTTGGAATAGACGAGAATTCTGCTATCTGACTGTGTCAGTCCAATGGAATGCGCATGGGTTCTGTTGGTCAGGGGCGGGAAATGGCATGACATAACTAGATGCGGTCGGCTTGAGGGGTACGTATTCTCCCGTCAGATGGACATCAAGTTGAGTAGCTTTGGCTTTAGGAACTCTTGTGTATGGCCAGGGCGACCTTGCCTAATTTCGCATAATCTTGCCCAGTATCTTAGTGGAGGCATTTGAAATTAGTATCCATCTTAGTTCTGACGTAGATACCGGTGATATGGTCGACTAGAGTATTAGAGGCGGGAGAATGAGGTTGACAGAAGGCCAAAGATTTGAGAAAAATGTGTTGTGTTTCATATCTCTAAACAGCTTGATCGATCCTAGTTTGTATGAGCGGACGGTCGTCTTGTCATACTAGGCAAGTTTCGCCTACGACTATCGACTAGAGATGAGCTCCCCCAACGAGATAGATTAATCGTGTATAAAAATAGAGAGGCTCCTACTTGGATCTACTGTATTATGCTTATCCGGCTGGGCATATCATTTCCCACGTAAATTAGCTC